GCTGGATCAGGCTCACATCTATTCAGAAAAGCACAGCCACGATGCAGAGAATGGTTGGGGGGCAGGCAGGACTGGGGCAGAGAAACGACTCAGGAGCTGCTGCAGAAATCATGAGAGAAGTGAGGATGATCTGAACTAAAGTAGTGGCATCGGGGGTGGAAGATGAGAATTGAAATTTATTAATGATAAGAACAGATAGTTCTTGAGGTTTAATTGGGTGTGGGTGGTGGAGAGAGGGTGAAATTAAGGATGGTTCCTGAAAACAGTCTGAGGGAGCGTCATCAAGAGTAGCATTGGAGTCGGTGCCATAGAACAAGGCACGACTGTGCTTCCTGGTCCTGGACGAGGGTGTAGTGTGGGCTGTGGAGTTAGACCAGAGTTATAATAAAACTTGTCTCTTAGAATCATTAGGAGTAGAAGACAAGGAATCTGATGGTTTACCCTAATATCTTCCATCCTAAAGTTGTCATTAATAACAGTATCATCTTTATTCCCAAGCTCTGTGATCATGCCCCTATTTCATGCAAAATCAGAGACAAGGCAATAAGAGGTAAGGGGCTTGCGGAAGAAAGAGAGTTGGGGGTTTTTTGTTTGTTTTTAGCTTACTACCACTGCTAAAGGTCTAAAGGGAGAAAGAATCTCTTTTTTGTGGACATGCTGGCCCAGAAGACCCCTGAGAGTCTGAGGGAATGGGGCCCCGCTACGTCAGCAGAGGCCTGTAATCTTAGCCCTGTTCCTCCCTGTGATGGGTGTCACCCACCCTCCCCATCCCACCTCCCCCTAAACACTGCCCTCTTCCCTGGGGAACCATCAGACCAGCACATGACCAACTCCAAAGGTTTGCTAAGAAAACAAAATATGGGCCTGTGTGAAAAGGCTCTACATCCCCAAAGGCACACCTGTTCTTAGTACTACTGGTCTGGGTGTCTGTCACCCCTCCCAAGCCATTCTTCCCATACACACACACATCCCCCCACACACACACCACAGTTTCACAGAAACACACACCATTGAGCCACAGACCTGGTCTCAGTAGACCAGAGACTCGTGCTGGAGCCAGTAAGGCGAAGGCATTCTTTCCCTCAGAGTAACTGACTTGTAATAGTGGCCCATAGTGTCACTGGCACTGGCTGAAGAGTGTGCTTCAGCTCCTGGCACCAAAGTGTCCCTTAATGGGAGAAAACACTTATAATAATAGTAACCAAGGAGTGAGGAAGCTGATGCTCAGTAAAGAGTTCCTGTGATTTTTCCATGAGGACACGAATCATAGCTTTGGAAGGCAGAAGAGCCAGGGACTTCCTAAGACAAGGCTATTTGGGATGAGACTGGGACTTAAGTTCTCAGAGGGACAGAGTACTCACGAGGACGTTTCCCTGTGTAGTCAGCCATTCTCACGCCCACTGAGCAGAGTGCTTGTGAGTTACTCAGCCTTCCCAAGCACTCGGGTTCCGACTCTTCCTGCCCACTCTCCTTCTGCCTCCCTAGAGGGACATGCGGAGGGCATGAGACTCTTAGACCCCCTTTCCATATGCAGGGGGTGCTGAGACAGTGGGATGCTAAGGTTGCTATTTTGGACACAACTAAACAAAACATAAAAACCATAACAGCTTCAGTGTATTTAGTGGTGTCTTCCCTATATTCCTAAATGCTGATATATGAAATATATGTCAAGAATTAGGTTAAAGGGGCCAGCAGGAGAGAACTTTAAGCCCTCAAGGAAAAAAATTCTTAGCATCCACTCAGGTCGAATACTGGAAATCTATTTGATTTGAACCTCAACAATCTAGTGCTGTTTTACAATCTAGGACACGAATGCATTAGCACTTGGACTTGGGCTTGAATTGCAAATGTGATTTTTGTTGTTCACATTTTAAAAGGTTCACCAGATGCTTGGAAAACATTAGGGTTTTGCGGGCTGGCGCACAGAAATACTGTCATTCTACCTATTTGTGTTTTGGAAATCTGGGAAGTAATCTCTCTCAGTTGTAGTTGTGACTATTAGTATCACTGAATTTTATAAATAGTAATAGCTAAGGCTTAATGGGTGCTTACTGGATGCCAGGCACGAAGCTAAGTGCTTTCCATATTATTTCATTAAATTCAGCCTCAGAGTAACTCTATGAGCTACATATTACTAACCCATTTTGCGGATAAGGAAACCAAGGCCTGGGAGAGGTTATATGTTTTCCAGGATTCATTCATTCAACATGTACTTATCGAGTGTCTGCTGTGAGTTTCTGGGGACTCAGTACTGAACAAAACAGAGAAATCCCTGCCTTCATGTAACTCACTATCTAATGGTGGGCATCACAGCTAACATTTGTTAAGTGCCAGGCCACATTTATACGTTGTAGCTCTTAAGCAGGGGTCTTGGGTTTGAACCCAGGCATTCTGACTCCAGGGCCAGTGCTCCTGTTTCTGTATTACTGCCCTCTACAGCCTCACCCAGCTGGGTCCGCTCTGCTGGTAAGCGGTGAAACTTGCAATTCCCATCCAGACTTGTCTGTTTCCATGGTGGTCTTGGCCACCACTGCTCTACAGAGCAACAAACAGAACATTGGTCTTCATTTTCTCCATCCTGCCCCACCCGTTTTGCAGCCCTACAATAGAATTGTGGACCTGGACTTTCTAAAATAGAGTCAGGCTCATTCATAAGGCAAGTGCTTATTTGTTTTAAGGTTAACTTCACTTCAGGAGGTGCTGAGGGCCCCCTCCTTGTTCCCTTCAGGCCCTGAGGCTGTGATATTTGACCTTGCCGCTATATGTTAGAGCTACATTCATGTGTCTGCCATACCTGTGATCAGACCCACAGTTTCCTGGTTTGCTCAATAAATAATGTAATTTTATAACAGTGTCTACCTAATATGATGGATCAAACCAGTATCTTCTTTGAAGTTAAATTCCAGTGTGTCCCAATTCCGGCCTCATTTTTAGCAATTCAGGGACTTTTACCAAGTGACTACAGACAGTGTTTGGTGTTGTGAATAAAAATATAAGATTTAGGCCCTGGATGGTTTGGCTCAGTGGTTAGAGAGTCAGCCCGTGCACCCGAGGGACTTGAATTCTATTCCTAGTCAGGGGCACGTACCTGGGTTGATTGCAGGTTCAATCCCCAGCCCTGGTCGGGGTAGATACAGGAGGCAACCAATCAGTGTGTCTCTCTCACATCGATGTTTCTCTTTCTCTCTCCTCTCCCTCCTTCCCTCCCTTTCTCTTTCTAAAAAAAAATCAATGGAAAATATATCCCCAGGTGAGAATTAAAAAATAATAATAAGATTTAGGAACAAGGGTTAGACTGGATTTTCACACAAGGACTTTTCTGTTTACTTTTAACATGGATTTTTCTACTTATGAGAAAATAGCCATAAAGTGGCACTTCATAGAATCCCCACATCATCTCCAGATGGGTTTTATTTTACATGGGGATCCTCTCGAGCCTGGTCAGTTTCATGTATGAGTGCCAAGTACAAGGTCCGAGGGAATCCTGCTCCTCTCTTCCCTGGAGGACTGCTCCTCCCACCCTCCCCATGCATTTTACCTTCTGCCCTCAACTCTGTGAAATTACTAAAACCCCTGCTAACCCAATCTAGCCTTCCTTTTGTCATTCAGTGAGCATGCAGTACTTACTTTCTGTCAAATTCTTTCACCAGAAGTCCCACACACTGGCCTTTTCTGGCAGAAAGGAAGTGGGCAAACAAATGAATTGGGTTGATGGTTTACAAATTCATAGAGTTAGCAAGACTTTTCTTAACTTGACTTCTTAAATGAATCTAGTTAAGTGGACACAACACACTCCAGGGTAAGAGATCCCATTACTGGGAATGTAGAATCTCAAAGTCAGGCATTCCTTATGGTCAATGGGGCTGCCTCCTGCTCTTATCTAAGCTCACCTCTTTTAGCCACTATGAATTACACAACAGAATCATCAATTCAATTTGCCATTATTTATTAACCACTGCTCTGAACTTGAACACTAGGTGCAGCCCCACCAGACACAGTAAGCAAGTCAGCTGTAGTCCTTCCTTCCTGGAGCTCACTAAACAGACACTTAAGCAATTGCCCCAAAGTATGGTAGAAGCTATGATGGGGAAGTAGAAATTGCTTGTAAAAATGTATTCCAGAATATCCAGCCTAGGATAGGTGAGTCAAAGAAGGCTGTGGGGAGTGGATATGAGAAGATTTCCTAGAGTAAATGAAGTCTAAGATACAACCTGAAAGATGAGTAGCTGTTAACCTTGGGAAGGGAAGATGGAGGGGAAGCAGTATGTTCCAAGAAAAGAACATATCCAGAGTCCTGGAGGCAGAAAAAAGCTTGGCATTCTTAAGAAATTGAAGTTACAGAAGAATTGATAGAAAATGTCTGGCAGGGGATGGAGAGGTGATGCTAAACCAAGAAGCAAGAAAATGAGCCTGGAGTGAGGACCAGTGAAGTAGGCTCAGTTTGGGTTTTAATCTAAAGACAATGGAAATCATTACAGGGTTATAAGGAGGAAGGACGATATATCTTTTTGAAAAAGGTGGCAGTAGAGTGAATAGATTGATAGAAAGCAAAGCAATGCATAAAAGAATAGATGAAAGAGTAAATGGATGGATGAATGAAGTCAAGACAAGGACATCAGTTAGGAGACTATTGCAGTAATCTAGCAAGAGATAATGGTTTCCTGGCCAAGGATAGTAGCAGTGAGGCTGGAGATGAATGGGTGTATTAGAGAGATAGTTTGGATGCAGAATCCATAGGACTTGGTGATTGGTGATGTGAGGTGTTTTAAGAATGCTTAGGTTTCTGATTTGGGTAACTGGGTAGTACTGAGATAAGAACATTGGTGAGGATCATGTTTGAGTAGAAAAAGATAATCAGCTCAGTGTTGAGACATGTTGAGTTTCAGATGCCCATGAAACATCTGGAGAGCATTGGAGTTAGTGGAGCTCAGGAGAGAAGATAGGGTTGGGTATGCTGTTATGAGGTCACCAGCCTAGAGAAGATACTTGAAGCTGTTGTAATGGATGAAATCATCCAGGCTAAGGTATATAGTGGGCAGGAAAAAAAGCTTAAGACCAAACAGTGAAGAAGTCCATCATTTAAGAGAAAGAAAGAAGAATACGTGGGCTGAGAAAGAGCAGGTGGAGAAGGCAGTCCAGGAAAGCACAAATCGTGGAAACCACGGGAGGTGTGCTTGAGAGTAGAGTGGGCTACAGCCTCAGAAGGTGCTAGGAGGACAAGTAAAATAGGAACTCAAAGGAAGTTGGGGGTTATGTTAACCGTTAATCTTCATTTCTGCACTATTCAGTAAATGTGTTAAATGTTCTGTTCTTAGAGGATTTTTATTGTTGTTTAAAAATATTGTTGATTGAATTCTTTAATGTTCTCAATTAAGATATGACAAGAATTTAAGATAAGTATTAACATCTTCCTCAAGTATGGTACATTTTGGTCCAAGTCTCACACTTAGCATTCCTTTGAAAATAATAGATTATTCTTTCCCACTCTCCAATTTTAATTTGTTTTCTCTCTTGACCTTGCGAGCTCTGCTTCTTGAAAGTTAGTTGACAGCAGTCCATTTCGCCACGCTGAAAGGGTAAACTATGAACTGGAGATTTAGTGTCCTCTTTCCTGTTTCTCTTCCAGCTCCAAGAGACTGTGAAAAGGAAGTTGGAAGGAGCCCGATCACCACTTAATGGAGACCAGCAGAATGGCGCTTGCGATGGGAGTTTTTCTCCAACCAACAAGCGAATACGAAAGGACATTCCCACGGGGATGGAAGCCATCAACAGTTTGCCCAACAACATGCCACTGCCTTCAGCTTCTCCTCTTCACCAACTTGACCTGAAGCCTTCTTTGCCCTTGCAGAATAGCGGAACTCACACTCCTGGGCTCCTAGAAGACCTAAATAAGAATGGTAGACTCCCAGAGATTAAACTTCAACCTGTTAATGGTTGCAGTGACCTGGAAGATAGCTTCACCATCTTGCAGAGCAAAGACCTCAAACAAGAACCTCTAGATGATCCTACTTGCATAGACACATCAGAAACATCTCTTTCAAATCAAAACAAGCTGTTCTCAGACATTAATCTGAATGATCAGGAGTGGCAAGAATTAATAGATGAGCTGGCCAACACTGTTCCTGAAGATGACATACAGGACCTGTTCAACGAAGACTTCGAAGAGAAGAAGGAACCAGAATTCTCGCAGCCATCAACCGAGACCCCTCTCTCCCAGGAGAGTGTGAGCGTGAAGAGCGACCCCTCTCACTCTCCTTTTACACATGTCTCCATGGGATCTCCCCAGACAAGACCTTCTTCTTCTGGTCCTCCCTTTTCTACCGTCTCCACGGCCACCAGTTTACCTTCTGTTGCCAACACTCCCGCAGCTCCAAACTCTGCCAGCTCACCAGCGAACTGTGCAGTCCAGTCCCCACCAACTCCAAACCCAGCCCACACTCCAGGCCAAGCTCCATCTCGGCCTGGAAATGGTTATCTCCTCAATCCGGCAGCAGTGCCGGTGGCTGGCTCGGGGTCAGGCCCTGTGGCTGTGCCGAGCTCCGACATGTCTCCAGCAGAGCAGCTCAAACAGATGGCGGCGCAGCAGCAACAGAGGGCGAAACTCATGCAGAAGCAGCAGCAGCAGCAGCAGCAGCACTCAAATCAGACTTCTAGCTGGTCTCCGCTGGGGCCTCCATCCAGCCCATACGGCGCAGCTTTCCCTGCGGAAAAACCAAATAGCCCCATGATGTACCCCCAAGCCTTTAACAACCAAAACCCGATAGTGCCTCCCATGGCAAACAACCTGCAGAAGACGACAATGAATAACTACCTCCCGCAGAATCACATGAACATGATCAATCAGCAGCCAAATAACTTGGGTACAAACTCCTTAAACAAACAGCACAACATCCTCACTTACGGCAACACTAAGCCTCTGACCCATTTCAATGCGGACTTGAGTCAGAGAATGACGCCACCCATGGCCAACCCCAGCAAAAACCCCCTGCTGCCCTACATCCAGCAGCAGCAGCCGCAGCAGCCTCCGCAGCCGCCGCAGCTGCAGGCTCCCAGGGCGCACCTGAGTGAGGACCAGAAGCGCATGCTTCTCATGAAGCAGAAAGGCGTGATGAGCCAGCCGCTGGCGTACGCCGCACTGCCAGCCCACGGTCAGGTAAGAGTGAAAGGGACACCGCTCCGAGCCGTGCCGCACTGGGGCGCACCTCACGCTGTCCACGTGCGAGGGTTTAATTACCTGTGGAAATGCTTCCTACACATCCTCACGGGGTTGCCAGATTTGAGCGTGGGGGGCGTTTCCTCCTCTTTTCTAAGAGATGGAAAGGTGGGCATGATAAACTCGCCTGTATTTGAATGCCTGGGAACTTCTTTTATTCCCGGCAGGAGATAAGAAATGAAAAATGACGTATCCTTCTCACTCTGAGGGAGGCAGCGCTTAGAGGCCCCTGGGCGCTCCTCGTCGCCCAGGTCATTCAGCCCTACACTGGGGCGTGGGGAGAGGTGGGAAGGCCAGAGCCTTTAGGGATCGCCACAGCAGTTTGATAAGGCCCCGAACAACCTTCGCCTAGCTTTCAGAATTATGAATCCTGGACATTTGGGTTCTTGGTGTTCAACTGTGGGAGAGTTTTCTGTATTTTCTGGGTGAACTGGAGGATAGGTTTTTGTAGGATTCGTTGCTGAACTAAGGCATTTAGAGGCTGTTTCGAGCTCGGGCCTTGGGAGTGCAGTCGAACCTCTCAAGTTTATTCAGCTCTAACTCAGGGAGATGTGATGGTGACGGTACCTTAGTGCTGTATCCAAATAAAGTCTCCTCTTTCCTACTTCATGGCTTCCTGGTTTGGACAGCAGGGCTCTCAGTGACCCATGGTAAAAATGAGTGACAGCCCGTGGGGAGTGAATTCTCATTGATAAGCGCTCACCTCTTCATCCTGACCACTGTGGCAGCGGCCAAAGCTCCTTCCATGCAGCACTGTCTGTGTCCTGAGGACAGGGGAGTGGCGGAGGGCATTGTTCCCCTGCCCTTCTCCACACGTGGGTGAAATCATGGGCCATCCCTGTACTGCCAATTGCTGTTTGTGCCCTAGTGCTCTCAGGATGCTGAGGTTGGCACTGCAGTTGGAGGTTTTGCAGAAAAGTCTTTGCTTTCAGGGCCCTCATGTGCAAACAGGTTCTAACTAGTGCTTGGATATATGTCCACAGTTGGACGCATCAGAAGTAATGCAGGCAGATCTTGCATCACTAGGCAACTGTTTGCATCTTCTATCTGCTGGGTGCCACCCCCCATGTGCACCCAACCCCCCCGAACTTGGTGGAGGCTACAGAGCTGGAGGTGTGCTGGCCTGCAGAGACAAGCCTGGGCTCTGTGGCTCGATTCTTGTCCTTCACAGCCTTCCAACCCCAAAACCTCACAGTGGTTTCTTGTCTGCACATGCCGGCCAGCTCTAAAGAAATTCTGTCTGGAGAAATAAAAATATAGCTTGGTTTACATCAACTGCAATCGGTCACTGGTAGGAAAACATCATTGAAATGTGAACTTTTATGTTTTATCTTGGTTTCTTTAAAAATATATATACCATTGGAAAAGTGTAACATTTTATACACTTCAGTATTGAGTTCTGAAGCAGGCAGAAATGTAGGCAATATACAGGGATGTTTGTTGTAGCCCAGACGCGTCCGAGGTTTATGAGATCGCAAGCTGTCAGAATGGTCTCTTGTTAATCTTAATACAAATTGTGTTTCTACATTCGCTGTTTTTATGCCAGCTACAGTAAAATATTTCCTCCGAGCCAGACCAAAGATGATTAATTCCATGTCCCAAGCTCTGCAGACATGTAGGTGCAGTGTGCGCCCATCCTCACCTCTCACCCTCACTAAATGTCTTTTGAGATTTGCTAACTTAGGATGAAGTTCTTGTCTTTGCTGGAACATGAATGTTAAAGGCACTTATTTCAGGTCCTTATGCTTGCCTAACTGTGAGTAACTGAAGCCTTGAGCTACAGAGCCCATGTTTTGAAAGAGCTCAGTCAGGTGAAGAAATGAAGGTGATGGTTTTCTGGACTAAATCTATGGGCTCTGTTCCCTCCATCTCACGAGGTACTTTCAGGGTGGACAGAATCTTCGTTCTTGAGGCCTCATTAGAATAATCACTCCTTTACCTCATAAAGAACCATCAAGCAAAAGCATGCTTTTTCATGAAATACTAACCACTGTTTGAAACAAGCTTCAAAATGCACACATAAACATGTGAATATCTTTCTGCAAACATACCATTTATTTCATGCTTTTATCTGATTGTGGAGCAGTATTTACATAGCTCTCAGAATCGTTAATTTGCACCATATGTGAGTACATGGCACAAAGACATGCACGAATTGCAGGCAAGACATAAAATGTAATTATACATAGGTGTAGTTCAAATTTGTTTTCTGCTGTTGCTAGTGAAAATTCACGTTATTCTCTGTTGAACACAAGGACCATGATCAACACTTAGTTTTAATGAATGACTTGAGCACCAAGGCCAATAACACTAGAACATTGATTTCAAGATAATTATATAGATGTTTACTTATTTGGGATGTTTGCAGAAAATGCCATTTCTCTCAGAAATGAATAGAATTTCACTCAGTTCCCGGGTATTTCAAAAAAGAGGGAACCAAAACTAGAAAGTGCCCAAAAAGAACTTTTTTTTAAATTTTTGAATGTTTCATCAAGAAATTTTACTTCTCAGAATTCATCTAGTATTCCTTGTAATTAGAGAATTGAACCAAGATTTATGTACAAAGATTATGTGCATGGTGTGAATTATGATAGTGAAAAATTGGAACCAAAATAAGGATTTTGGAAAAACAATGAACATGAAAATCATGATATTGATTTTGATTATCACATGGAAATGCTGAGAGGATGAGTGAAGTAAGCAGATTGATCATACAACAGCTTATATGTTACAATCCAGATTGTGGTTTGTGGGTTTTTATTTTATTTTATTTTTGTTTAAAATACTACAGATGTCCCTTTTTCTCCCCAACAACCCATTCCACCCCGTTCCTTCCCCCTCCCCAGCCCCTCTCCCTACCATTGTCCATGTCCTTGTGTGTTTTTAATATATGTAGAAAAATACTGGATAAATAAAATGCTCGGAATGGTATTTTTGGTTGGTAAAATTATGAGTGATTATTGTTTTCCCTCTATAGGTTAGCAAGTGTTCTGTCATACCTGCATGCTAATTCTACCATCAGGAAGATACTTTTTAAGGAAGGGAGATCCTCTATTTTAAAAAAGTTTGTACTATGCTAACTCTTTAAAAGAACATTCTTATTTTTCCAGTTTGCCAGTTGGATTGGGGTGGGACCAGTTTCCCATTCATTTACATATAGTCTTAGTTAAGAATCCCTGCATTAGGAGATAGTTCCAAAACCCTTCTCCCCACATTCACTCTCCTTTTCTTTCACTCACCTTCTCTTCTCACTCCTATCATCTGCTCTGAAGTCGTACAAAATTTCAGCGAAGATAGTGACAATGAAAGTATCAGTGAAACTTCCACCATTACGAACTTTCAAATTTTCTCTGGGTTGTCTTCTCTCTTATTATTTCTTTGATCATTTCTCCTTCCCCCTTTTCTCGTTTTTTACTTTCTGGAACTTCTATTCATTTTGTATTCAACTTTCTGGGCTGCTCTCTAATTTTCAAAATATGTTTTTCTGTGATGAAATAACCAGAACTTTGGCTGAGTCCATCTATTATTTTTTCCTAATTTTGTTGTTTCTCAAGACCAGGGTATCTCCCCCCTCCCCCTTCTGTTTTTACAATTTCTTGCATAGTACCTGACTCTGCATCTTAAACATAAGAATGTTTAATAAATCATTAAACATGGTGATTATTGATGTTCGGAACAAAAATATGTTTACAGTGAAGTCTCAGCTCCAGTGGAGAGAGCATTAGCACAAATAACACAGAGCTGCTTTTGAGATCAAACAGAACTGGAAAGGCAAGTCTGAAAGCAATCCTTTGATAGGAGGTGGTTATCTTGAACCAGTGGAACAACACTGAGATTGAGGAAAGGCCAACTCAGTCTCTGCTCTGACAAATAGAAACACAATGGAGCAACTCCGAAAGGAGAAGATCAGGAAGGTTACAGATAGCCAAAGCCCAGGAATAAATTTTACATAGAATAGTGGAGAGTGGATACTTTCCAAAGTGTGATGTTAATTTTTAGTAGTTGCAATCATAGGACTAGAGAAATAGGATGATTATGCTACTTTATTAATACTTTACATGCTATTTGCTGTGTGTGGCTGTGTATATCAGAATGAATACATATAGTCTCATGTTTTATAGAATGTTTTTACCTTTCCATCTTATTTTACCAAAATGTGTTGGGTACCGTGTGAGGTGTATTATTGTAAGATTTTTTTTAGGTTTTATATATATATTTTTTTATTGATTTCAGAGAAAGGAAGGGAGGAGAGAGAGAGAGAAACATCAGTGATGAGTGAGAATCATTGATCAGCTGCCTCCTACTGGGGATCAAACCTGCAACCCGGGCATGTGCCCTGACCAGGAATTGAATGGTGACCTTCTAGTTCATAGGTCAGTGCTCAACCACTGAACCACACGGGCCGGGCAGTTGTAAGATTTTTAATCATATAATCTCCAAGAAAGAACAAAGCTCCATTATTAACAGCCATCATGGAAATCCCTTTGAAGATACATTTTCCTTAACTTTAACAACTTGGAGTCTTTTTTTTTTTTTTCAGTTTCCTTAATTATATATTTTTATTTTGTCCTAGTAACATATGACATAGCTCAGAAAGTCAAATGGGGTCATAAGGCTTATAATGAGGAAGAGCAGCTTCGCCCGCTTCATTCTTTATTTCTGCTTCCCAAGGTGACAACTTCAATTCGTTAATTCATTTCTCTTATTTATTTCCATAAACTGCTATTTCTCAATATGTCAATTATTTGATTCTATAGAATATAAGGATCCAGCTCCCTTACACTACCTCCTCACAAACACAACCCCCTCCACACTCAGAATCTCTTTTTACTTTTCCCCATACTCTCAATATAGCTAGATATATTACAAATTATGATTTTTAAAGCATTCCGTATTTACATGACTGATTTTTGCAGTGCCTCACCGTTTAGCTGTGTAGT